ACAGCGTATAGTTGTGTCTAATTTACATAATTAAATAATGCAATGCATACACCTACACCATCTGTCCTGGCCTCTCATTGTCTGTGTCATTCCTTACACGAATTATGTGTCACCTCATCGTGTAATTACTTGTTGTGTTATAAATTATCAATATTATTACGGGACCTGTGTTATAAATTATCAACATTATTATAGGGTCCGTATCAATATTAACAATCTATACAAAATGGTAAAATAAGTAATTTTTATCTTAAGGCTAGGATCACACTATGCGTTTTGTCGGTTCCCGACCAACCGGAGCCGAACCGCAACACTTTAAAATAAAATAGGTTTAAATATAAAACGCGTTATCAGGGCCAGACTAAACCGATTTTCGAAACCGATTAAAAACCGTCTGGAAGCGACCGCAACGTGTTGCGGCCCAACCGTCCGGTTGCGTTTCGGGATGTAAAGCACAACACATGCAATGCAGTTTGTCCGATCACATTTGCGCGGATTATCGGTAACCGAAATTGAAAATGTTATGAATAATAAATAATCATTTTTAAATTTAAATAATTAAAAAACTTAAAATATATTTGTAATATACATATATATATATTATATTTTATTTATATTATAGATGTATATTATTATTTATTAGCATAATTAGTTGATACACGTTTTAAATAAAAACAAATAATTCTAATTACACAACCTTTTTATTATTTTTTTACTTATAATATTAGATACATTTCGTTTAAATAAAAAATCAGTTTAAAATTTAAATTTAAATTAAAAACGATTTTCGGGCTTTTTAATCTTATTTGTATGTATTCGGTTATCGATAAAACGCACAGTATGATCGATCGTCCCGATTGCGGTTAATCAGGATAGTATTTTTCGGTTGCCGACAAAACGCATAGTGTGATCCTAGCCTATAAGAGGACGTCGCACCCGCATGTGTAATCTCTGTCTTACATATATACAACATAGCAAATTTTCGTTCAGCAGAATCCATTTTATGTTGTTAGCTTTAACATTAGAGTAAATTTACCTATTATCAAACTTAAATATAAGAATTTTATCTTGGCAATGACATAGGATTTTATTGATATTGATATTTTAAGCTGAGTTATGGCCATATAAGATATTGAAACTTTAAAATGCTCATAACTCACTTTAAAATTATAACATTAACAAAAGCCTATGCCATTGCCTAGATAAAATTCTTATATTTAAGTTTGATAATAGGTAAATTTTCTCTAATGTTAAAGCTAACAACATAAAATGGATTCTACTGAACGAAAATGTGCTATGTTGTATGTATGTAAAACAGAGATAACACATGCGGGTGCGGCGTCTTCTTAAGTTGACAATAACATTTATAATAAGCTAGGAAAAGGCTCTAAGCGGTGTCCAGGTTTTTCATATGACGAGTCAAATTAGAATTACCGGTAAAGTACATAAAGTGCATGACAATCGTGTGTTCTTTCAATGTCTATCTAAATTGTCTTTTCGTGTAAATGTAAACGCACATTTTCCATAGTTAAACATTTTGAAATGAAATAATAAAAACTTGGTATAAAAATACAAGTATACAATTTAAAAATAAATGTAAACATGATATATGTGTAGACTGTAGACAGATGATAGGTACACTAAATTATAGTCATTATGTAACGGGCGACCCACCCATACGGCGTCACAATAATGGACATCACTTAGGTCCCCGGCGGATCAACGTTAAACAAATTTTTATTCTAAGTGGTGAGAAAATAATTTCTCCGGCTATAAATTACCAGTCAATGATTTAGATACAGAAAAACAAGTCAAAAAATAATTGTAAGCACGGGATGTGTGTAGACAGATAATAGACTAAATCTAAACAGAAGAATGGTCACATTATATATAAAATGATAATGCGTGAGAATATTATTATGAGTATATTATACATGTCATATAGATCGATTATCCAGCAGAATTTTGGACAATTCAAACTAATAGCATGGCTTAACATTAAATACTTCCAGATTAACATTCCAAACTCTATATGATAGTATAAGGGGCTATATTGATTTTTAAGTGTATCCGTTCCATTGTTATATTAATAAAATTTAATAAATTTTTGTTCTAAATGGTGAGAAAATAATTAAGTTTCCGGTTATAAATGCTCTGTCAACAATTTAAATTTAGAAAAAAAAGCATAATATACTATACTTCAAAAATAAATAAAACAATATCAGTACGAAATGTGGATAGAGTACCCGTGTTTTACCTATGATGGGGTTAAGGTCTATTCCCACTGTTCTGGGCCGTGTCCTGGTCAAAAATATCATCTTATGAGATTTAAATGTAGAGACATTCACATTTATCCGGGTCAACAAAATATTGTTCTGGAGAATTCTCCATACGGATACCCAGACTGATTTGCCCAGGATCCGACATGCCCTGCGACAGGTGTGAACAACAATGAACCGTATCGTGTCCGTATACCGCACTGGAATTTGTCGAAACTCGGGTCGATATTTTCAATTTGATAAATTTTATCAAAATTTAAACTTTAAATGCTTATAAAAAAATTGTACTTACCTATAGGTCTTTTATTTTTAAACTGCTATTGTAATAACGTGTGAGAACTAAGGAGCTTTGTATACATTTTTAAGTTTTTTGATCAACGAATAAAATTATATTGGCGTTTATAGAAAAATGAATTTAAAAAATTTTAAATTTAAAATGTCTGTGAACAGCTCAAAACGAGTTGAAATATTTTGAAAATTTTATCAAATATAGAAAATTATACAATAAATATTTGACGTAAATAGTTATACGGTGTATAAAGACATTCGTGCATACCTGTGTATTTAAATACTCGTTTTACATATTATTATATTTATAGTTTATATTTTATACCTAAATAGTATTATACAATAAACGAATGCTACTCATTAATTTTTAAGTATTACTAATAACTAGGAACTCATCACATTTCTAAAAATAAAAGATTAACAGCTATACAATTCTTATTATTAATTAATAAACAATTATTAATAATTGGAACATTAAACATACTACATATTATATAACATTATATTCTTATAAATATTTATATTTAATATACCTATATCTGAATTCTGTATTAGTATAAAATAATATACTTGGTTATGCATGGGTATTACATACACAGGCTTTAATATATTTTTCGCCCACGGTACCCGTGTATTCTAATATTTGTTCACAACCACGACCCTTGATATAAGCCTATTAAAATATTGTTAATCATTATGCACTGATACTAATATATATTCTAGACAATATTCTCCTAATGTCATAGCGTAACGCATGTGGGTTATTTATTTTTCAATAGTCGTGGGATTTAACTGATTTAAGTGATTTAACCGTGTCTGGCTCTGGTAGAAGGCAGGTTTAATGAAAATTGACGTATAGAATAATTTTATTATACTTCTTAATTTTATAAACCATATCGAAATTATCGGATGCGCTAAATCTATTAAAATATTGCTATTCATTATTGAATTATAATAATTAGTCCATTTTGTATAATGTTTGGCCAGCGTGTTATGATGTACGGTTCTAATCCAAAGTATTTTTTTTATATGCTATTTTTATTCGTGTATAATATAATATAAAGGTCTTTCAGTGTTTAAAAATAAAATTATTTAACATAGAAAATACTCCGATAAAAATTGTTTAGTTGTATGCAATGAAATCGGCTAATTAGATGGTGTGACATTAAGTTAAATAAATTGACGGTTATAATTATAAAATTTACATGAGTATACCTACTACCTAAATGTTGTTATTAACATATTTTTCATTTTAGTAATAAATGTATTATACCTAGAAAAATGAGTGAAAAAAAATGACATGTCATATAATATATTACAAAAATTATTAATAATGAATAGGTATATTTTGTAAGTAATTGGATAGAGAAGTGTGGGGGGGGAGGTAGAGGCCCCCATAAGTCTGTTTCATTTAAATATGTAAAGTCTCTTCGAGTCAAAAACTAAAATTGTATCTATGTATGATATATAATATAAATGGATACTTTAAAATTTAAAAACGTTGAGCACACATTTATTTGTTGTTTTTTATTTGATTAATCGTCATTGACTTTAATAGTTTAACATGAGATTTAACCTCTATGTATTTATGCTCTAATGCCATAAATAAGTATTATACCATTGTCCATTAATACCTTTTGAATCACAGGTGACAGGTCCAGTTTCTTTTAATTAAATACATTTAACTGTAAAAAAAAACATTATTATAAAATCAATATATTCCAATGTGCCCAGTCTATGCATTGGACAACATATTGATAAATAACAATCCATTAAGATTTAACAAAACAACCATATGATAATTAACTTATTTAAGGGTTTAATAGATCATCATTGATTCAATGATAGCATTTTTAGTGATCCTTTATATAATCCAATATAAGATAAAGTATTATTTTAGTTAAGAAAATAAATAATAAAACATTTGTTTTTAAACATGAAGGTGAATGTATAATATTCATGTTAATTATGAATTTATAATTTAGCTTCAATAGTAATTAAAAAACTTTGTTAATTTTCTTTATAAAAAAAAAAGATAAGTCAACAAATTTTGTTGGTTTGTTTAATATTATTTATTATAACAACTAACTTAAGAAATAAAAAAATAAAAATAAAGACTGTACAAAGGTAATTAATGTTATAAATAAAATTTGTTAACATTTTTTAACTTTTTATGTATAATAAAAATGCACATATTATTATCTCATCATCTTTACACTAGAGTAGTAGGCATCATAGTAGTCAAGGCATATATGAGATTGTTTCTCAAATTTTGAATTCTTGTTTAAAACTATATTATTATTAAATAAAAAACAAAAGTAAAATATGGTAACAATTGTTTATAATATATATACAGATGATTTAACATTTATAAAAACATCATGATTATTGTTCATGACAAAATTATATTAATAAATAATATAATTAAAAGCACCATAATAATTACCACAGTAATCTATATATTTTGGACTACAATTCTTAATTATTGTTAAAACAATGAGAATTTTGACCAATAACTTCTATCTAAGGACGGACATCCATTTTGTTGTCTTAATTGTAACGCATATGGTAAAAGATCTTCAATATATTTGACTCGTTGACTGTGAGGCGGATGAGTAGACAACCACCATGTGTCTTTATTATTTGGATCAAGCTTTTCCATTCTCTTCCAGAAAACTGGTGCTTGACGAACATCAATACACGCATTAGCTGCTAACATCAATCCATACTTGTCAGCTTCGATTTCCTGGTCACGTTCATAGGGCAACATCATTACTAAACTTTTAAAATAATGACCGAATAAGTAACCTAAAATAGCTTCTGGTACTGGAAACACTGCCCACATTATAGTAAGTGGTATAAGCCAAAGCATTTCAACTAATTGTTCTCGACTCAAACGTACTGCATGATGATTAAGGAAACAATGTGCAATTTCGTGTGATAAGACAACACCTACTTGTTGGTCATTAGCTGCATATAGTAACCCAGAAAAGACTATTATCATGCCATTTGGCAAAACCATAGCGTTAATTCTTGGATCATTGACAACTATCAGAGACCATTTTCGATTTTGTAAGCGATCATATGGCTTATTGGCATTTATCACTAGCATTGCTATGGACAAAGCTCGCTTGTAAAGCGGATGTGATGGACTTAGCACAGATTGTTGGTTTTCATTCAATAATTCGTGGGCAATTGAATTTGCCAGTTCTACCATTTGTTGATTTGTAAACAGAATTAATCGACGTTTACCAGTTATTGGATCAAACTCCATGTGAGCAGCACAGTATACGAGAAACAAACCAATGGCACTAGCTATGACAGCAGTTATTTGCTTCCGACGTTTGTGTACATTATACCAAAACTGTTGCTTTTCCTTTGGACTCAGTTTTGTCCACCAGCGACGTATACGTATACCCAACACCATAGCAAAAAACTTGGCAACTGGACGCAACACTAAAGCTGCTATTGGAGGTAATGGAAGGCGGTTAACGGGTGATATACTGAATTAAAATAAAAATATTTTCAATTAGAATGAGAAATAATTGTATAGTAACTGTATAAGTATACCTAAAATATCTTTCATTTGACTTCAAACGATTGCTTCCATTGTTGACAACAAGTGGAAACCGGTACTTGTGAACGGTGAAAGGCATGTGACGGGTATATGAAAATCGATTAAGTTTTCCACATGGCAGCACATGCAAGATGCGTGTTTGGACACATAGCCTCCTAAAGCTATTGCCGCAAAACATTTTTGATCCAAAAGTTTGCTGTCAAACCACTCAAACTTCTGACGTGTAATCTAGGCCACAATAAAATATTAGAGCTTTTATACTATTGAATCAAACGTCGGTACGATGTGAAGACGGCGATTCGATTGGAAGACATGTTAAACGAGGGCTGCAATTGATGAAACTCAAAAACTACAACATTCATGATATCGCTGTTGTCTTCTTTTTTAAAAATACTACTAGCTATCATTTTTTAATTAAAAAGAATGATTGTTAGCCTACATTGACTATCACAAAGTTAAAAAATAATAGTTATATAATAATTAATGTTATGTAAAAATCTGCGTTGACGTATATCTTTGTACGAAAATGATTATGTTTACGTCTGATATGGCAATTATTATCACGATAGACGATTGATGTGTATAATTTATTATCATATATAATTGTATTGTATGTCATTATTATTATAATAAGTAATAATATTATGTGAAAGCAATAACATTGATAAACGTTGATATAAAATTGTGATCAGTGGTTAATAATAATCCGTTTGTGATATGCCGGTCAGCTGTTTGAAATAAAATATAATATCAAGACAAGTCGCTGACACGGTACCTACTACCACAGCTACTACCTACACAATTTACAACTCGTGCAGCCGTGCTATTATTATTTATAATATATTATAATAAATAATAAAAAAAATTGTCCATCATGACCTATCCACGAATTCAACGTTACCCATCTCGTCTCTCCTTTCCACAGTACTTTTTAGCGAGCAACTGCTTTATAAATTGCCGCGGCGGAGTGTCCACTGACTTCATTGACCTGTGAAGGAGATAATACTCTTGACGAATTTTTATCTGTAATCTCGACGTGAACAATAGTCAGCATTATAATATTATTGTGATAAGATAATCATATCAATTAAATTTTTTGTAGCCGAGCCCCGCTGAGGTGGCCTGGGCAGTGGGCACGATGTCCGCGGCTGGTGTTACCGGTCTCTTATTCTTCTCTTCTTTCTTTTACTATTTCAAAGTTTAACGGAATGAACGGCCGCTGCAAATTTCCGAGTATAATACTTGTTGCGGACGCTTAAGGCTTGTTGATTTAAAGGTTATGTAATTTATTTACTCGTATTGGCCAACAGAATGGTAGCAGTGCTGTTGTCCGCATTCCATGTAATGTCGCATGACGAATATTCGGTTTAAAATTTAAAAACCATCCTAACGTACTCCGAGACATGCGTCTGGACATTGCGCGGTGGTGCTTGTTGGTCTTGTGGACTGTTGTTCAGTTCGAGTGTTCACTGTGCACTGATTACAACAGTCTGTTAGAAGAAGAAGAAACATTGGCCGGCAGTTCTGTACTCAACACGTTGCCCCGGTGAGTTGGATTTAAGTATAATCATTGTAATTTATAGGTATATACGAAAACATTTATTTTAGCTGTCAGTGAATTAGGTTAAAAATGAATATATATTTCCCTTGTTATAATGCAATGGCTGATGAACATTTTCTCATTAATGATATGTGGTGTTGGCAAGAAAAAAAGTTCAAAAAGCTAGTTTTAAAAAATGATTATAATACATTAATTCATTTTTAGTATTTAAATGATTCCTTATACTTATAAATGTTTGATTGATAAAATAATAGGCACATACTCGATTTTGTTTAGATATATTTTGTATGATGTCAACAAGCCTGAAGGATTTAATTTACGTCGTGATGTGTTCATACGAATGGCATCTTTTATACTTCATATGAATAAAGTGTCCGACTATCATTGGATTTTGGTAAATATTTTTCATTTATTTTCATTTGTAAATTGCAATACTTAGACATAATTGTAAATTTTGTTAAATTATTTTTATAGGTATTGCCACCATGGCATCGTTTGTATCATTGGAGATCATCAAATCTTGTGCAAGACTGTCTTCCGTGGAGTCTATTTTTTAATATAGATTCCATTAAAAAAATTATTCCAGTTGTTGAATTACATGAATTTTTTCAAAGTATGTTACATTTTTTTAAAGTTATATCATGATTGACCATAATATTATGTGTAAATTTATACATTAGTAAACGGATTAAGACCTTTGGATGTCCAAGTTACATTACAAGATTTTAATTTGAAATCACTAGAACAATATTCAGACTTTTCAGACAAGTGGGAAGTAGCCAATTGCAAAGGTCAAGTTCAAAAAGAATTTTGGAATCTAAATAACCTAACATTTACTAAATCATTATGTATATCATTCCAAGGAATTTCCACTCTTCTAGCTGATATTGTTGAGAATTTACAACCAAGGTAATACATTCAGTAATTTAATAAGAATATATTGTGTATACCATATTAATTTGTTTATTATGACTGACACAAATCAAATTAACTAATAATAAATATATTAAGTTAAATCATTTAAGTTATGTCTATGATACCATTATAGTAGAAAACTTTCAACAATTACCTGTTAAATTTATAATTATTATTTTTTATTTTTATATTATAATCTATAATTTGTTATTATTAGAACAATAAGTAAAATTGACGAACAAGGTATGGCTTGAATGACAATTTTAGAATGCCTTCCAGTGAAGGCACTTAGTCAGTTAAATAAGTTATTATTTTTTAAAATTAAAAACTAATTATTTAAAAAAAAAAAATATATAAATAAAATGTATAACTTTCTAATTGAGTTAATTTAAAACTAATATAACATTAACTAGATAAAATGTTTTAAGAATTTTTGTTGTATAAAAAATTTAATTTTAATGTTAATGGTAAATCTAAATAATGGTCTTATTTTTTTACTATGATAATATTTTTCCCCTTTACTTTTATATTATTATTTTCCTTCTATACAGTTTATTTTCTATCTGAGTAACACAGAAAAGAAACTAAAATATTTATAGTGTAAATTGTAATGTTTTTAAATTGATTAGTTATGAATTTATGATTTATGTGTTTTTATGTTGTATAATATCTCTATGATTAATTAAAAGTGTTCTGTTTGTTTTTATTTTAGAACTATTATATTTGACCATGCAGAATTAGCATTACACAATTATTATGGTGGAAAAGAGTATTGGATGATTAGGAAAAGTATGCAATTTAGTAACAACCTGCATGAAATTGCTAAGGAGTTTAAGAAAAAAAATTTAAAACAAGATTATTTGTGTGCACATTTGCGCCGCAGAGATTTCTTATATGGCCATCCTAGTGATGTACCTAGTATCAACAATACAGCTAGACAGATAATAGAGAAATTAAGTTTATTAAATAATATTAGAACAGTTTATATAGCTACTGACACTTCAAAAAAAGGTAAATATTATTTTTTTTATCATTTATTTAGTCACAATGTAATGTTAAATTTCATGTAATATAATTTATATATTATATTTATACATCATTTTTATTTTAGAATTTAAAGAACTTTATAATTATTTGCAACCTTATGAAGTATTTAAATTTGAAGCTGATGAGGAAACCTTGAACAATTATTTAGATGGCGGGGTAGCAATAATTGATCAAATAATATGTTCTCAAGCAAAGTGAGTTTCTTATTCTTGTTATTTAAATGTTAACTTTTAAAAATTTTTAAATTGTATTTTTCTTTTAAGCTATTTTATTGGAACATCCAAATCCACATTTTCATTCCGAATTCAAGAGGAGAGAGAAATTCTTAGACTGCCATCAGAAACTACATTCAATAGTTTTTGTGGAGACAACATTGTTAAATGTACACAACCAACAAAGTGGAGACTTGTAGAATAACAATAGTTATATTTTTTAAGTAGACTTGCAATGTCTTGTGGTACAATGATAAACTGTTATTTAGTTTGTTGGTATCTTGCGTTGTCATTTTTCAGTTTGATATTCAGCTCTTTATTAAAGCGTAACAAGAATGTTCCGGCAGTAAAAAATTTCATGTCTAGTAACTGTACAGCATTTTTGCGGTTATTTGGGTTAAACTGCAGACAATATGTCACTATTTCCATTAGGTGTGTCGGCCACCAGTCATACACTTTTCGAAGTGCCATGGCAGTTTTTGAGACTGTATAAGATTGAGATAGTGGTTTAAAGTTAGCCTCTAAATTAAGGCTAAAACCGTGTTTGCGCAAATACTTGTCTACAACTGCCAAATCACAGTTGTTATTACCCAGTATTTTTGTAATTCCATATAATTGACTGATAATGGTATCTTCAGTGACAAGAGGCATCTTGTTGACCAATTCCGTGAACAAAATGCCTATTCAATACCACACAATATCCATTTATATGATGTAATGTGTTAAACATATTATGTAATATAATATATGTATAATTATTCTCCACAACTCTTGTTGACTGTACACTTACCAACTGACCAAATGTCAACAGTAGCATCATATTTTGTTGATTCCATCAGCATTTCTGGTGCTTGGTACCAGACAGTGCCCATTTCAGTGCTCAGATCTAGTGTTTGATCTGCACAATACATGCGAGACACACCAAAGTCACAAATTTTGATTACACCATTGGCTGAAAGTAAAATATTTTCTGGTTTGATATCGCGATGTACAACATTCTGATTATGTATGTAGTTTAGTCCTCTCAATACCTTTGGCAACTTTTCTGATATTAGAACAGGTCAAATTAGATTGCTAATATTATGGAAATATACTCACTTGATATATACACTTTTTAGTGACATCTATAGTTAAAGCTCCCCCATTTAACTCCAAATATCTGTAAAGGTTGCAACGCATCAACGGGAACACTATGTGAACAAGACCATTGTATCTAAATGCTTCAATCATTGACACTATATGGTCATCATTGAATATCCGCAACAGACAAATCTCACGCACCATCATCTCAGAGTATCGATGGTTGTGGGCATCTTGATGACCAGTCATTGTGTTATGCAACTTTTTCACCGCTACTACCTGCCCGTTTGTCTTATCAAGACACTTTATAACTGTACCGTAAGTGCCTGCGCCCACTTTTCCCAACTTCTTATACTTGTACATAAAATATAATAATATAAGAAAAAAATGTATTTTTAAGTTAAAACTTGAAATCTAGTTGTATAGGCTTGTTCTTGTGTACACTTTGCAGAATAATAAAAATAAAATTAATAGATATTTAAAAAATAAAAAGATGTATTTTATTAAAAGAAGTAGATTTTCACCATGGAAACATTTTTAATAATTTCACTTTTTTATATGTAAGAGTATAACAAAGTAATAATTGTAAAAGTATGTAAAACTATTCCTTACAATTATGAATTTCATTATAATACTTTACAATGATTCATTCAACCAAACAATATCACAATATAATATTGAAAAGTTATAATTTTTTTTTTTATTAAATTTAAGTTTAGAAGCTTGTTCAAGTGACTATTTATTGGTTTACTAATGGGTTTGTTTTGTGCAAACAAATTTATATTTAAGAGCATTGGTATGAAAACAACTTGTTCCTAGGATATTATACCTATTGTGTTTTTGTTTTGTTTATGTTTATATTTTATTGATCATTTTACTGACTATCAATAACTATTATTGTTTTGTTGGCTTGTTGTGTCTTAGTATATTTTATTAATTATTATTTATAACTGATTATAAACTTAAGCTTTTCAATCAATTCTCATGAAATAGTTTGCAACCATGCTTTAAAGTTTAAAGGTTTTTTATTTGTTTTTTAATATAACATAATTATTGTGCTTACACTTTATTTTAAAATACGTTTAAACACAATTATCATCAAAAATGTCATTTAAATAATTTGTTTTACTACAATGGGTTAACAATTATCTTACTACAATTTTTGATTATTGAACGATCTATATTTGAATAACTTTAAAGAAATAGATTCTTGTACATTATAAACATCCAAAGTCTAGATGTTGATAATTCTAGTTTTTTGGAATGTTCTTCTATGTGTTGGCTCTGTAAAGGTTTTACAGTGTAAATATCAAATGATATAATTTTATTTTACTTTTTTTTTTTGTTTTTAATTGTGCTAAGTCTTAAAATCATAAGATTCAAATGATTTTAAAGAATTAAAGTCTTGGAACATTAATATTATGATATATTTAGTATTAGTTATATTATTAGTTTAATATTTATGTATAAAAAATAAACAATGACATATTGTTAATAAATATCAATACATTGGCATAGGCAGTCTTAGAATTTAATTTTTGGAGTGACTTTAATTCTAAACAGTTTTTTAACATGCATTTAATATTGTAAATGTTTTTATTAATTATATTTACCCAAATTAAGTATGTATTGTAATATATAGATATATGTACCTATGTATACAATTGTTATGTATATTAATTATTAGTTAGTATTGTTTAATTAGCACAAAAAAAAAATAATTAGTATGCAACATACAAATTTTATGGAAACAAAAATTCATAAAGTTACCTAATTGTAGCATTATTTAATCTAAAAACGACAATAACAGTGTTAAAAAATAAAAACTATTAGTTGTTCTACAAAGTAGTTTTTTTGTTATCCATCTTAAACTTATTTGAATTAAATCTGAATTTGAATTAAAATCTTCTTAAACCTGTAAGAGTAGTGAGTAGAAACTATTTCCTAAAAAATTATAATGTTTTCAAATTTTCAAATTTTTTATGTATTACTTTCAACATTTGACTAAATTAAATGTGTGTTAAAATTTTAGCTCTTAATAAAATAAAAATAATATAAAACAATCAGGTATATTATAGTATTTATTTATTAAGTTTATGGAATTATTATCATTAAATAAATATAAAGAATAATTATTATTATATGTTTATAATTTTTAATAAATAAAAATAATATTAATTTTTTACATTAACATATATAATATCTAATTATGTATTTATAATCATTATTGATTAAAGATGTATTATTTTTGTTTAATATTCATATTTTGCAATAAAACTAATTTAAAAAAAAGTTTGAATTGTTTGTTTTTTTTTTTTAGTTTGTACCTACTATCAGATTATTCGTGTTGTAAGAGATATACCCAAAACTACACACCAATAGCTTAATCAAACTACTTAAGTTAACTATTGGGTAATTATTAATTTGCTATTTGTTCTGATACTCCATTAAGAATATAGTGTAATATAGACTTATAAATTTTATTACATAATTGAAAGAAGATAACGATTAAAACTTGGTCGTAAACTTTATAGCCTATAGGGCATAGGCCTAGCAATATTGGAATACTAATAAGGAAAGAAATCATGGTTTATAGTCTGGAAAATAGACCGTCTGTAATAGTCCGTAAGTAATCTCACCGAAAATTAAGATTAATTTCAAAATTTGTAAAACATTTTATAGATACAGAAGGATTATAAATTATAATCTACAATACATTATAGACCAAGGAATCCTTCCCTTAAAATTTAAATACTTATACGACATATTTTTGTATGCGGGGATACTGCTTATTTACTAAACGTATTACCTACGTACCTACCTAATGACTAATAAGCGTCAGTGTTGCAAATTTATTGTAGAGCAATAATTTACAGGTTTTTTTTTTTTGTATTAGTCATTTTTAGGAGGTAGGTAGGTAACAGGTATATCGAATGAGTGCATATTCGATTTTTAAACACAAAGTCGACACCACTGTAAGCATTTTTCATTTGAATTTCATCCGTACCTATTTATATACCTAGTCAATAATAATGTGTCAGTAAGTACCGTGTAATTCAAATCGGTAGTATGTAAAAGAGAGCGCCAGCCACACATCCCGCTGGCTCATACCTATATGGTCTCTCGCCCGCTTGCGGACCGAGACCCGCGAGGTCGGCTACTGCGAGCCGAACACGGCCGATCGGAAGCGTCCGAAAACCGTTTCCGGGACGATGGCGGAGCAGGCGAAGAACACGGGCCTGGTCAAGTCGCGGGACGATTGCACGTCCGCCTACGCATCGGGCGGCGCGCAGACCGACCACAGAAGGCGTACACGGCCTGCCGTCGACTCGATCCGCCACAGCGGCCGGCGACGTTGTCCGGCGCGTGGTCGCGAAAATCGCGGAACCCGCGCACGTGGACGGTCCGTGCGCGGTGCTCGACGGACTGATGCAGAGGACGGCGGACGTGGCCGGCCACCGGCGCGGCCGAGATCGACTTTGAGCGCGCGCGGGGACCGGCACGACGCGGTCCACTACTCGCCGACGTCCAAGGCCGAACTGAGGTCGGCCGTGGGACGGCCAGTGGGCGAAGGCGGTGCGCAGGGGCTACGGTTGGGCGGCCGCGAGGCGCTCCGCGGACAAATGCCGGCGCGTCGCGCTGGACGCGTGGCCGACGCGGAAGCCGACGGCCGGCAACATACGTATACCCACTGCAGAGGTGGATTTCCCAATAGGCACTGTAGGCAGCTGCCTAGGGCGGCAAAGTTTGTAGTGTTTTATTAAAAAACATCAAACTTATATATATATATATATAAAAAAAAATTCATTGCTTTATATTTATGAAAAATAATTAATAATGTGCGTATTTATTTTATATTTTATAGTTTATATTTTTCTACAGTATATCGTATATGGTATACGGTTGTGGTAACTTGTTCAGTCGTTCACCTATTATGAGGGCGGCAAATTGTTGGTGCCTATAGTCGTAAAAAAGATAAATCCGTCTCTGCGTACCAGACGGACGCGTCGTACACCGCGGGCTGCTGGACATGGCCACCGACCGACCGTCCGCGAATCCACGCGTGAACGATTTTAAACGTTTGACTATTGCTTTGCGCGTAGTATACGAAAAAGAGTGGTGCGCTAGCCGCACATCCTGTTGCTGGCCCATCTCTATATATGTTTCCGTTATAGTAACCGTGGAGCCGAAAAGCCGGAGATTCGAATGTATCGATGATCCGAGCGCGGATCAGTCGCATTCGGCGGCTGTCGAGGCAGACAACCTGGCGAGCAGTTGTTACTCGTCCGAGAAGCTCCCTCGCGACCGTGGAACAAGACCCGGAAGTGGTTTGTGGTGGGAAGCGGTGCTGCGGGCGATGGCCGACGCGCTGGACGAGATGAGCCGGGTCGCAGTACGCCGGTCGTGTACGTACTACGGATCTATGGTCATCGTCAACGAGATGGCCACGTTGGTAGCGTGGAACGCGATCACCGGCAAGGCGGTGAACGACAATCCGCTGGTCGGACGTCCGGATGGCCGACGGCGGGACGGACACAGCCGCCGAGTGGCTGTTCCGGCGGTCAACAGCCTTGAAGTGCTCCGCGGATAACTGTAGCCGGCGCGGCTTGCTGGACGCGTAGCTGACGTAGAAGCCGACGGCCGGCAACACGTACCGGACGGACGTGACGAACGCGTCGTACACCGGTTAGGTTATACATTATTATTTTTTTTATCTGTATAATTGAGCCAAAAGGGCCATTTGTATTATTATTTTCTATATCTGTATTATTGGGTCAGAAAAGCTTATATTATTATTATATTTATGTGGTGGCTCTTATGGCTACCTTTATATATTTTTACTTGTTGGGCCAAAAAGGGCCGTAATCATTACTATTATTATTTTTTATTATGCCTTGTATTATATTTTATTACCGTAACATAGAGTTACCATTTCTTTTTCATTGAGTTACCTACTTGTTCCTATAGCTTTAAGTTACACACTCACATGTATACACACGTACACACACCACTCATGCACTAGCACTCACAAGATTTGTTCGGCGATCCTGTCCACTTCCTGTTGAGTATACTATATACATATATACACAATTATGCACAGGTCGGTCGGTTTGTGACCGTATAAATTATAAAGCGTATAATAAAATGGAAATTTTGAAGCTGCAATGTAATATATAGACGTACAATACGATACGATTACAGTAGTCAACTAATTGTTTATATCCCAAATATTTATTCAACGTTTGAATTCCATCGGTTGCTAACAGTTTAATGCAAATAGTGTAATTATTATTATTTTTTAATTTCATCGTGATAATATTTTATTCGTTAAAATTATAATTTATATTAAATATCTTCGTTTTATTTGACGAGTATAGCAATGTTGAGTTTTTTTATAAATAAGCTTAGTTATTTTATAATTTTTGTCCAAACATTTTAATTGCTTGGATGTACATAGAATAATAGTGTTATCTTTAATTATAATATATGTGTACATGCTGATGTTAAACATTAGAATTTTATTATAAATTTTTTCGTTAGTATTTGTAAAGTAGTTCTTTTTTTAAAACTTTCCAAATCATCAGTATTGAAACAATGTTTGCGTATTAAGGTATACTTTGATAATTTATAAAATTGTGTTTGTTGTAAATTTAAGTTATATTATATTATTTAATTAATTATTAGTATTTAATACATTATTAATTAATGCCAAAACACATATTTAAAATAAATCTATGCTGTTTATGAAAGTTTTGAAAATATTGTTAAGATACTCTTAGTTCTTTTTTATTTCAAGTAAGAAAACTCAATTGGAAAGTTGAGTAGAAAATTCAAATTTTTCGAGGAATGAACAAAAAATGTTATAAAAATAGGAGTATATAAAAATACTGTGATATCAAACGAAATATTATTTGTGAGATAAAGTTTAATAAATAATTGGTTTATATTGTATAACTTTATTATACATATTTATAAAAAGTGTGTTGATACATTATGTTTTTATACGACAATAAAGTTGTATAAATTCTAAAATAGTTCTATTTTAATTAAATAATATTGGCGATTGGAGCTTTTATTGATATTGATATTTTTCAGTGGCGGCTCGTAGTAGTTTAACACATAAGAGCGATGAAAAAATTAAAGAACTATAATACATCATACAAAGAATTAAAATCATAAAACATTAAATATTTACTACTTTTGATCATGTACAATATTTAAAATTCAACTGCATCGATACGTACTTAATAGTAAAATAAAAACGAATAGATTTGTGTTATAATAATAAAAAAATATAAATAAATTCCATCACGCCGCCCGAATAGTACGATAGGAATCGTAGCACAATCTAAATTTAATTTCCATATAATTACGCTTATAGACATTAGTCAGTAATACATTATACAGTATTATACATTTATATAGTTACTTGTATATAATAATAATTATGGTGTCCTAAATAGGCAATTAACTACACAAATTTTGAGATTCGTAAATTCATATTCTTCCGATATCTTAATAAAATATTATGATATTATTGTCAATAAAAATTAATTTCTAACTGCAAACCCTTGTACATATTTAAACATCTTTATCAAAACTATCCCTCATTCGTATCACACCCAGCTTTTTCTACATATAATACTCGTTAATTTATTTTTTATATATTACAACGTGTACGTTATAAACGTTAGAATTATAATATAGCTATCGCATAAATAACACTGTTGTCTCATACATACTCGAACTATTAATGTTTTTGAAAAACATTTATGTTCGTATTAATTTACTATTCTGAACGGATTACGTCATGTTTAATGGGGTGGCATTAGTCTACTACCCATCCGTATTTGTGGTAAATGTGATGTAGGGTGGTGCATTTTGATGAGGGGCCAGAACTGAATTTTTATACTACTAGAAATAAAATTTACTATTAAATAATAAAATAAAAAAATATTAAATTATTAATATGGTCAGGTTGTTAAAAATAGGAATCATTCAAAATTAACATAACGTTTTTTACAAAGACGATTAGAAGAAATGTCTAGCAGCACATCATCATTATCCATGCCAAGAACTATAATAACATGAAAGTATATTAAAGTTCAGAAAATTTTTCATTCGTTAATATATGTACAATAACATAATATCATTATATAATTATAATAAATAATAATAGGTAGCTGCCTCCCTATATTACATTATTATATCACTAATTACAGTGCTATATCCTGTGACGAGGACCCAAATACCAGGCCAACGTAGGTTTTTTTAACGGTCCTATTGATTGTCAATTCTTCTGTGATCACAAAATATTTATTATTTAAAATGTTTAAAAACACTAACCATCCCTTATCGTTGTTCAACCGATCTATCCTAGCATTAAATTGTTCAAGATATACTATATGATTATTGTTTGCGTGCGATAAGCTCGTCGAATTTATCGTCGCCCTCCTCCCCTCTTGTATATATGGCATCGGCGTCTTTGACCACCGCTGTGAAAAGGTTAAACACTCGCTAGCTGGAGACGTTGCCGTAAACTCTTGGCCGTGTGTGCCATTGGGGCTCCTATCGTTGCACCCTTATTATTTTATAACGTGTGTGCCGTCGTTAGATCCGCCGTTCTTGCCGTGCAGACATTAATATATATATATAACCACCTGTTATTATTTGGGCAAGGAGTTCGTGAGTTGGCAGTGTACATACAGCATAATCCATACCGGTGTTCCTGCAGCGGAGATTTCACGCGATCACGTTGGTTAAGACCCGAGTCGTCGATATTGGTAACATCCATAAATATTATTATTGTTCTTATTATCATTTGTTTTGTTGTATATCGATTTTTGTCACATTATTTGGGCGCCCTATTTTTTTATCATATTATTATTATTAATCTATTAGCTCAATATTTCTATTATATAATATTGTAGCACGACGGCGCATAAAACAAATTTGTTTATATTATTATATTTATTTTTGGTCACCCGTCCCTTTTGCACGTCACATTATTATAGTTGTTAGCGAGTTAAAACACTGGGTATTATTATCCCTTGTATTATATTTTTTATATATCACCATTTAAAGCCAACCGCCATCCCCGTAGGAGTCTTTGTGGTATACAGTTATTTAATAATATATATTAAATCCGTATGTACATTTATATTCAAAGGTTGAATTACGAATATTCAATTAAATCCACGTATAATTAAATACATATAAACACTGTTATAAATATTAAATAATAATTTTATAAAAATCGTGAATAAGACATGGATATAATTTGATTGATGTTCATGTATAATTAATGTAATTATATACTTGACCCAAAAGTATACAGAAACAGACACTATCTAGTTAGTGAGTCGCTGAGGTAGTTCATGAGTTTCTATTAAACCTTTGTCGATATATATGTCTAATTTTTTCGTATCCGGCTATTTTTGGTAAGTTGGCAAACAACTTAACGTTTATAAAGAATGACTAAAGTAGCTTTTTGAGCTAATTGACTCCTTGTTTACGCATGGGCCATGACATAATACGTATACTAATGACACCTGATGGTATATAAATGTATAATAGTAAATAATTACGCACAATACAATATGATATACTTTTCAAGTTCTCCCAATTGAATACTTAATATAATTTTATACGTCATTGTTGAAAATCAATTTTAACATAATTATTCATTGTATGATTTATATAAATGTACAATAGTAAAAACTGTACCTACAAAAAAGTACTTAGAAATCGGTTTAAAAACAAATACGATGATTGAATATGTTGATTAAAAAACTGTTTAAATTTTAGGTTTATTTAAAATGGTTACCAAGACAAAAATGATACCGAAGAACGAAGATAATTTAATGATCAATACTCGAATAATGAAAATAACTGGATTATACTATTTATTGGATTCGCGGAGTCCAAAAATCTTTGGTCACAACGTGTTCAAATGCATGTCCATTGTTCAAATGTCGATCATGTCAGCAACGTTGGTTGCAGGTATCGTAAATATAATAAAATTTTTTTTAGACGACATCAATTCAATAATGCTGTTTTTGATGTTAATGACATCCGGTACACTCTCGGTTGTAAAACTTTATAGTACAGTCGTAAATTCAGATACAATATGGAACTGTATACAGATGACATCTGTTGACGACTTGTCTTATAAGTATCATAATAGACGTATACTTAAAGATGGCCAATTGAAGTCCAAATCGTATAATATTTTAATTATGTTTATGTGGTTGAATCTCACAATATTTTGGGGAATTTCTCCTTTGTTTATCACAAACGCTTTTTTGGAAATAAAAATCAAAAACAAGATTGGCCGTTACCGCTTCAACATATTAAATGTCATATTTCCTGACTCCGATCAATTTTTCAACGACAATTTCATCATTTATTACTGTATAGAATTTATTGTTCTGATACAATGGGGCCATAGCGCCATGAATTTCGATATACTATTACTGTCGACAAATATTACGTTTAAGTATCAATTAAAAACGATTGCAAATTCTTTCAGTACATTCAACATTACACATAATGACGTTAAGAGTAAGTTATAAAATTATGTATATTTTTAGTATGTTTAAGATGTATAGTTTAGTTACGTGATGGTTACATTTTTTTTTTTTTTTTTTATTCCTATTATATCAAGATGATTGCACAAAAATTGTTAAACATCAAAAAGAATCAGAATTGATGTTTAATTTCAAGAGTATTATTTACGATCAACAGAGTGTCATTAAGTAAGTTTAGTATAGGCACCTATATTGCCTACCATAGGCGTTCGCATACATCAAAAATAGATAGCGACCAATGCTCATATATGATTGGTACTAATATTAAAATGATTAGACCTTTTAAAACTAAATATTCTTTTAATTAACATATAATTAGGAAAATACGAGTTGCACACTATCACATAATATCATTTCCGAGAGAGTAATCGAGGAGGATTAACATTAAAGTTCAAATATAATTAAAGAGGAAAAAATAAACTAATAATGTTATCAAAAATAGATAATCACAAGTAATAAACTTTGAACAAGTGATTAATCAGTACACAATTACAATTAACTCAAAAAAATTTTCAATATTTAATAATAACTAATAGTCATTACACGTTTAACTGTATACAGAGTTTTAACAATAAAATGCACACAAAGAATTATCCTAAATTTTTAAATTAATTTAAAAAACATAATCTAAAATTTATTTTAATAAATAAGGAATATTAATTGGGCAATTGGCAATTACTTCGGTCCGTGAAACATCACTGTCCTATATAGGCATACCGGTGTACTGGTT